TCTAGTATTTGATCTAAAGTGATGGTTTCCATTATTCTTCTGTTATAATCGTGGAAGGTATTTCTTGCGGTGTGCTGACTAAGAACCTTAGTGGGTACCTACTATGACATAATTTTGCATGCAGAGCCTGGAACCCGTCGAAAAGCTCAGTCTCTGCGAAGTAGCTTCAGCACATACAAATACACTACACTCAAAGGTTGAAGCATGAAGAACAGTCATTAAATCGAAGTGGTTATACTACAAGAGCCCTAAAACAGCGGGATTCATCAATCGATTTATTCGTACTACTCAGAATCCGGGCGCAGGTTCTATTCCACTACCTACCTTAGCTTCAGCTTCCTGAGCCATCATCAGCTGTCTTAGCTTTCCTAGCTGTGTACAACTCACACGCACATTCGTATACCTTAGGTACCTACCTAGGTACTTTATATTACATACTATGCCGCGTATGCCAAAAATCATATCGCCATACGGCCCTCGGCCGAAACGGTCGGCACAACTGGTTCTCATCTGGATGGCCATATTGATCATCGCGTTAATCGTGACGTTCTACCTCACATCGCGGGAGCGCGACGCTCCATCTTCCTACGCGGGTATGCGGCTCCCAAACGATAAGGAACCAGTGGGAGGCGGTGTGAAGATGGCAAAGGTGGTACCCTGATATGCGTCTGTCTAGGTTATCAACAGGCAAGGACGTTTGATGAGACTTGCTAACAGAGGAGGAACTTGGAAATGGTTGAGAGTATGCAGAGCCGCCAAGGCTGCCTATGAGTTGAACGGAAGGGAACGAAACAAAATCGAGACATTGATTCGTTAATACGAAAAGTCAGTCGGTTTATAATGTTAAGTTGAGATTGTACTATAGAGGATCGCGAAATAATGGCAAAAAATCGCACACAGGCTTGTATTCTAGGACCGCCATTACGTACAAAGCAATTAGCAAACACCCGCTTCAGAATAAGCGCGTATTCTTAGAAAGCCTTCACCAATCTAAAAAGGAATCTATTACTAGTTCACAGACACTTTCTACAAGCTAAAATAGTACAAGAACTATTGGCCAATACCAGCGGCTTGTAAACGCCCAGTCATAAGAAAAGATAGGAGCGCTCGAATCATCATCGGGCGGTCCTCTCGTCAAGATTCCGATATAGTGTAACGGCCAACATACCTCGTTTTCACCGAGGAGCTCGGGGTTCGATTCCCCGTATCGGAGTATCCAAAATACGTTTATTTTTGCTTTTTTCATATTTTGAAATTTCTTTGTTACTATTTTTTATATTTACTTCTCTATTAGTTTCGAAGTTTTCACTTCTCTCTTAAGAAAGGTTTGATACAATTTTCCCCGCCACTCCAAGTCATCATTAAGACGAGTAAATGTGTAGCGAAGCTAATAAGTTTGTATAATTAATCAATGTATATCAATATCCATGATTTACATGTATCATAGGTTTGCTATGCAATATTATGTTTCAAGTCTTATAATAGGGGTGGTTATGCCTTCAAATACCCTACGGGAGAGGATGTGCATTTCTCATTGCCTCACCAAACCTCGTAAGCGTCGCCTTATCCCAGCAACTCAACATTCCAATAGATTGGTCAAATTCACCACAGCCAAAAAATTTCTTCAGTCCCTCGCATTTAACGCGTTGCCAAGTTTCTTCGTCGATCGCGTCCGGATCTGGCTGGAAACGAGGTTGCAAACGGGTTTTGTTTCCTAGACATCGTTTGGCATCATGGTATGGGGTTCCGATCTCTTCTTCCTCCGGACCACTCCACCAGAATTCCTCGACAATGTGCGGCAAAGAGCCGAGCGGGAGTTTTTGGGTCCATTTATAAAGATTCTCTAGGCCGACGGTGAACCCAAGCACCCCATTCATCCTGTAGGATGTATATAGGGCGCGTCTAGGGGCAATGTAAACAGTGTCTATGCCTGTAAGCTTGAGTTAGGTTTTATACAACTAGCAGCCTCAGCTGAGAGAAATACACTGAAGGATCGCGCTAATACATACTGTCGAAGAAGCACTGACGATAGTAATCTGCCGTCAGTAACACCGTCTCAACCTCAACGTGTGAAAAGACCTCCCAGTACTTGTCTACCCACTCGCCACACGGGGTGTGCCGTAGGACCGCGCCGTGCTTTCCCGGTGCGCGGTAGAACAAGTTAGCCGCAGTCTCCATCATGAGGCAGGTACGGAGCTCCCTGGCCCCTTCCGTCGGGGTCACCCCGAAGTAAAAGTGCGAGCGCCAGAGACCAATGAAGGTCTTGTTAAAAAGTTGATCAACAGCTTTGCAGAACCACGGCAGAGCAACGACCATGTCCATAGTGAAATAGGACGCCGGCCACGGGTCAGTTCGCCAGACGTAGCTGTGAAAGAATCTCTCGAGCGATGCGGGATCGGTGGGATCGACATCACGAGAAGCGACGGCCATCACCATGAGCTTGATGTTGGAAGGGTCGAGAGTGCGGAGGAGATGGCTTTTCGCAATGACGCCGGCGTGCGCGTCGAAGATCGCCTTTGCTCTTCGGCAGGTGCTGAGGGTGGCATTGACGTCTTTGATGTCGTTCATGCGCTTGTATATCATGACGATAACTTCTGGCGGTATGCGGTAGAAGGTGTGTTCTCGCTCCATTCTTGCTACCTCGGGTATTTGTTTTAGGATATCATCAAACTTAACGTTGCATATGGCCCTAGGGTTGAAAGTATTCAAGAGTAAGTGCTTGAAAGTGTAAAAGTCAAGGTTCTGAAGAAAATACCTGAGAGATGAAAGTCGGTAAGGAATATATTGGAAAAATAATATACATTCGAATAGGTAGGAGGGACATGACGAAATAAATACTGGCAGCATTGAAAGTTTATCATGACTTGCAGTTTTTGGAATATGTGAGGCTATCCCTGACATCAGATGCTCTTACTTTTTGGGTTGGCTAACCACACTTTACACCCCCCTGGACTAGAAAGCATGTCTTGAAAGTAGAGATAAAATACTAGGTATTCTACTATGACAAGGGGAGACTCCCCTAGACTGTTAGTTAGTATGAAGTCCTCTTGTACAACCCTCACTTCTTTAGTAGGTAACTATAGATCAGATTCCGCAGGGAATTATGTAAGTCTGTGTGAATCACTAAGCTAGAACTGATGTCTACGTACATACGAGGGCCTCATATTTAGTGAGCGCTCATCATAGAATATCGGCTTCATGAGAAGCCTAACTAACCATCTGGACTACTAGGTGAAACCTGAACATGCTCGCTATTGCACAAAGCGAGTCAACGAGAGAAAAGAAATAACGAGTTTAAGCACAATCTACGTTACAGATTAAGATGACATATGGAAAGCTGCCTATACTGGAAAAGATATCTCAATACACGTCATTACTGAATAGGAGGCGTTCTTTGAATTCGAGAAAAGATCTATCATCCTTTGTCCACAATAGACAAAGTCAATTGTGTTCTAGTCAAAAAAAAGGCAGCCGGAACAAAACCAAGACATCTGAACAATGTATTGTTCTGGGATAAAGCAAATGAGAGCCTTTCCAAACAAGACCCAAGCCCGGAAGCTGTAGCTAACATATAAATATAGCGACTTAGGACTTGTTTTCAATCCTCTCTCACCAAGCAGCTCCCTTCATCTCCAATATTCCGTCCGGTAAGTTCTCTTCTCGGACCTTTCCCCCAATCGAACTCTCGCAAAGATACCTTTAAACCACTACTCTCTAGGTCTAGAACCCACTCACCTACTATGTCTTCTAACCAGCACCGCTCCGGCCGCGTCCGTAACCTGAGCCAGCACTTTGACAGTCTGGCCCAAGCAGAAGACCGCGAATACGTCTCGCCGAGCACAATGACCGAGGAGCCATCGAGCCCCGAAGCCCCCAAGACGGTCTTCACCGGCGAGCACCGCGTGCCTCTGCGAGACCGCCTGCGCGCCATGCGCAAGGGCATCCACGCGCGCAAAGAGGAGCGGCGCAGTAGCGGCCTTCTATCCGACAGCCTCGAGAGCATGGTATCGAGCACCTCCCCCCCACGAACACCCAGCCCCATTACCTCTACCTCCACCTCCATCTCCACATCCCCCTGCACCCCCGCCAACAACACCCTCACCCGCCGGCGTTCGCGCCCGGCCGCCCTCCCCCTCGGCGCGTGCCCCCACGCGCCGCGCAAGGCGAACAAGTACCTCGCCGTGCACCTCGACGCCTCCCCCAAAGACAGCAGCTCCGACGACGACGACTGCCTGTTCGACCGGCGCGCGACCCAGCACGCCGAAGCCGTGAGCAAGCGGCTGTTCGTCGACCAGGCCACCGACCGGCACCGGCGCCGCGTCACCGCGCCCGGCGCGCCGTCGCCCCTGCGCACCAGCTACAACGCCGACGAGATGGCGAAGCTGGCCGCGGAGCTCGATGTCATGAGAGCCGAGATCGCGGCCAGGGAGAAGGAGGAGAGCGCGGGGACTGATGATGAGCGCGGGCCGCAGCCGTTTGTGAAGGGGTTTGCGCGGTTTGTTCGTTAGTTTGTTTCACTGCCTGCTTTGCTTACCTTGTGTTCATTCATTCTAGGTAAGTTGGAAATAGTTTGGGTTGTTTCCTTTCCCTATCTATCTCTTTGTCTGCTGCTACGAGTACTCAGGTAAGTCTTGTGTAGACAGGTACATGAGCGGTTCACATAACGAGTCTATGTATAAAAGTAATTAATGAAAGTTGTCTTCACATATCTAACGAGTTTAAATATGCTGTATCTTTACCTATATACTTACAAATTGTGAATTGCAAACTAAGTGACAACTGTGAATGGACTCATTCCTAATTGCATGTCTTTGAAAATCTGACATAATATTGTCATCTGTACCTGTAGCTGCCCCGGTCAATCTTCGGAGTGGGACGGTAAAACGCCGGTCTTTGCGCTTACTACTTTTCTGGTATATGTAAGCCGATATCCGGCCAGAACTTTCAGTTGTTCCTCGCCTCAGAGCTCACTCTGTGGCTGTTTGTCAACTCACTGCCTTCCCTTGGTAGTCTAGTTGGTTATGGCGTTCGGCTGTAATTGTCTCTAAGATATTGTAGTTTACCGAAAAGTCGCTGGTTCGATTCCGGCCCGAGGGATCATATCTTTTTTGTCTTTCTGTGTTTTGTTTGAAGTTATTTTTTTATTCGTTTTGGAGAGAGTCGAATATGGTGCTTTAGTTAACAATTTTCCTTGTTTTGTGGTTTCGCCTAAATGAGACAGATCGTGATTTTCTATGTAAGATGCTTTTTCCGATAAGCACGATTTATTGCAACACAAGAATATCTAGACAATTCAACAATATGATCTATTCAATTTTTTATTTTGTCCCGAAATTAGGTATATTAGTATACTCTTATTAAGCCTTGCATCGTGACTAGAATATCATCTGGAAAATGAAATAATATTGAATGTCATTGTGTGTGTAGATGCAGGAGACTTACTAGAGTGTATCTATTTCAGTTAGGGTTACCTACGAGCCGAAACATATCTTACCATGTTAACAAGGAACTACAATGGAGTGCATGTAACGAAGCAAAGCAGGAAAACATATAAAAGATATATGCAAATAGGATATGGCTTCATATCCTACATCGAAGAAGCCGAGCCACTTGACCACGGCCTTCCAAAATCCCACAGCACGTCACGACGAGAATAAGACTTGAAGACTAGTGTCAGCATCAAATTACTAGCTAATGACAGCATACAAACAAGGGATAAGCACCTTTTCAATGCATTCGATCTGCCGCGTGATCGGATCACGCAAGTCGCACGCCGGCCTCCTTGCGCTTCTTCGTCTGCTGCGCCGTCGCGGAGCTCATGCCGACGTTCTGGCTGGCGTCTAGCATGCTCTGGGACTCGCGTCGCTTCTCGTCCTCGATCTTCTTCAGTCGCTTGTCGGTCTTGCCCTTTCCGCTCCCCTTGCCGTGGAACTGGTGGCTGAGGTGCTTGAAAGCTTCCTTCTGATCGAGCGAGCGGCCGAGCTCGTCGTGGTACTTGAGCTCCACGTTAGGCTTGTATCCCTTGCTAAAGAGATCGACCAGCTGTCGCGATGTCTGCTGATCGCGCATGTTGTTTTGCTGACGCGCCCACTCCTCTCTTTCTCGGACTGTCATCCTGTCGAGTCTTCCGCTGTTGCGATCCCTTTCGCGCTGGTCGCGGGCCTGCTGTTCGATATCTGCTAGCTTCCGTTTCTTCTCGGCGATGAAAATTTGGTGTTGGCGCTGTGTCTCGTTGAGATCGGAGGCGCTCGAGTCCTTTAGAAGCTGACGCTCTCTTAGAAGTTGCAGCGCCGCACCGATACCAGATCCGATAGTCTTTTCTTCATCAACGCCGATGACGGCCGTCTCCGCTGGAGTCGACTCTTCGCGCTTGACTCTGTCATGCTCGAGGTCGTCTCCATCCTTCATAGGCTCGTCTTCGTCGGATTCTTCTTCCATAGCTGTGACTGGTGCTTCTCCAGGTGACTTTGCTTTGCGAGGTTTGCGGTCTTCGATATCTTCCTTCTTCAGGCCCGAAACGAACTCGGATATCTCGTCTAGAACAAGGCCACCCTCATTAGCATCGTCGATTTCATTGTCATCAGGTGTCTGCCCCTCTTCTCGTAATTGCCGTGCTATGTCCTCTGGGCGTGTCCTCTTTCGCTTTTTCAAGGCAACTCTCCTTTGCGCAGCTAAAGTAGCTTGAAGATCTTCGTCATCGACGAAGGCTGTATCGTCGGTTTTACGTTTCCTGCTGATGAAAGTAGCCCCCGAATCTATGTCCATAGACTGATCATGACCTTCTGCTGGTAGTGGAAAGATATCATCTTCGTCCACTGGCCGTTGTCTTGTCGACTTTGATTTCTTCTTTTTGGGTTTCTTGACTTTGATTTCTGATATATCCATGTAATCCGAAGCTGGCAGATCATCTTTTAGGAAATCAAGGCTAATCTTTTGTCGTTGCTGACTCTGTGCTTCTAGACTGCCTAGATCATTGCTCTGTGGGGTATTTCCGAATCCGTCTAGTGTGAACCTTTTACTCTTCTTGCCAATGATCTCTTCGTCGTATTGAGCAAGGAGACTTTGCTCTCCGGTTTCATTGACTTCATTGGGATCATATATGGGCTTCTTCTTTTTCGACTCCAGTTTCTTGTCAAGCCTCTCTCTCTCTCTAAGGTTGATGTTCTCAAGCTCGTCGCCTTCTTCTTCTTCATCCCCTAAGATGTTAGAGTCCTTAAGAGTCAAGATCTGTTCCTCTCCATCTTCAAAGGATCCGAATTCATGTCCGACTTTGACGCCTGCGAGATCCTTTGACGTGTATTGAACTGCGGCGGCGGCTTCGGCTTCAGCAGCAGCTAATTCCGCCTCCATCTTTCGCGCCTTGTCGATTTTCTTTTGGCGCTTCTTCTGACTGATTAACCACGCCTTGGTATCAAGTTCGCCCTCGTCGACATCGCCCAATCCTTTCCCTTCTATAACCTCGGCACGTTTTGCGGCGTCGCGAGCCTTTTTGATGGCGGCAGCCTTCGCTTCGCGTTTCTTCTTGTTTTTTTCGCCATCTTGAATCTTCTTGTAGTTGTCGTATGCGGCGGCTTCTCGGGTTTCGAGGGTACTTCCGAGATCTTCGGCTGGTGTATCAGCCTTTTCTTTGAACTGAGGTCCTGCGCCGGGGACGGGCAAGGGCTTCATGCCCAGAGAGACGCGGAGACGGTTCGTCTCCTCTATCGCCGCGGCATCCATGATTGATAATTACGACTTCGATACTTGAAAAATAATTATTCTCTAGTTGCGATTGCGAATACGAGTTGGATATAATGCTCCGAGCGTTTTGAAATGCGATGTTTGCGGATGTCGCAAATACAGTACGTACAAGGTAAAGTTGAAGTTAAATTCATTCACTATGATGAAGGCTGTAAGATTTACACAGTACGAAGGTCAAGGCCAAAAGTTTCGCACATCAGCCCAAGGGCCAACCCGTGTAAATCAAAATACATCCGCACCGTGTGGCGCGTCTTTTTTTAGTGGCTAAACTGCTAGGGATATAGCGGTTACCCACTAGAATCTAGTGCACAGATCACTATTAGGTCCAGGTCTTAGCCTAAAGCTAATACAGTATTTATCTATTCCTTATTTGATTACGCACTGGGCAAAGACCCGTGGCTGATGTGCGAAACTTTTGGCCTTGACCTTCGTACATAGTGGCTAAAATATGTGGCGCAAGGCTGGTCAGTGCAGCCTCAAATGCCCCGCTTTTACGCGTCCCTTTCGCTCATTTAAATAATAAAATTTTATCGTTTCTAATTTTCCTTTCTTCCTTTTACACATCACGGATCTGTGCCCGACCGTCCTCTGTTCGCCCAGCGAATTCAGAGTTGATGATCGAGGCAGCTCGAATCACTTATGGAATCATCTCTATTTTATGATGTCTATCCAATCGACAGGTCCCAGAGTAAGGAGCAGTTTGGAAAACCTGAGTTCGCCGTAAAAAGCTGAGCTCGGTGGACCGGGCTTGCACCAGGCCTTATATTCCATCCCTTTTTTCCGAGATCATTGATCTATGAGGTTGAGGAAAACCATAAGCGTCTTCTACATGCCATTATCCCACTAGTTAATTCTTTCGTAGCGCCCTGCTTAATCGTGTTTAATGTTGCCGTATAGCGCTCGTGGTTGAAGCATTGATGACTAGAGCAATGTTGGTTATCACGAGCTGCCGAGTTTGTCTTTTTAGTGTTGTATTATACCTCATGTTCATGGAGTAAGCGGTTTTATCTCGGGCGTCTCGTGCGCGCTTTTACACCCTTAATCACATTACGCCATGGCATGGCATTGCAGTAGCAGGATAGCGCGCACGTTTTTTTCGACGAAGGAAGACTTAGCACGCTTTCCATCGGCCTGATCGCGGACAGACTAGTCTTGAGATAAGTCACGATATTTTTCTGTATATGCTGGCAACGCCACAAACATAACAAGGACGAGCTCATCCGGCAATTGCCGCTGCCATCTTTTGTCAAATTCTTGACTTGCGGGATTCGTATTAGTCCGGCTAGTGCAGTGGATATGTAGAGCCGGCCGAGCCTCTGGGGTCGTATTGACTCTAAAAGCACGATCGAGACCTTTCACAAGGTCCCGAGATCTCGTCCCAAGATATACTGGCCTTGGGACAACCTGTTATTTCTTGGCTTTGCATGGAATATAAGCTATTAAGGACCATGCAATAAGGCTAGCTGATGAGGCTGATGGACACCGCGTTCGCCGGCGGGCCGATATGGGGATGACATGATCTGTATATACACAACCAAGAGTATGGTCCCATCTCCAGTTTCCCCAGCTTGAGCAGAGCTGTATACATGTGACAGAGAGCTAACCAGGGCTGCCTGTTCGTTAACCGAACCGAACAGCGTCAGAGGTCAACCTACTGCACTCTTGATCTGGGGTAGAGTGTAAGTAGGTCCGAATATATTCTAAGAGTCTTGTCGGCATCTGGTGGACCTATCCGGGCCTTGGTATTGTCATAATGCGCGCGTGGGGGGGTCTATTGTGAAGATTTCAAAATATACAAAATACCGGTGATTACCAAAAGTCCGAAGACTATAGGAACCTAGTAGGTAGAAATGAGCATATATCGTATGAGTTCTAGAATCATTACAGAAATAGGGGTATATACAAAAATATATAACCTTGATCCATGTGTGTGGTATAATATCTCGATAACCGCATGATGTTTAATTACTAGCCGCTTGAGCTTAATACAGTTTGGAAAAGGAAAAAACATCGTGGAAGCTTGTGAAAATGGAACCTTCGGAACTTCAACTTGCTCCAACTCGTTCCGACTCGTCTAATCCCTAATAATGCGGGGACGATGAGGCGAGGGCTCCCCCGCACTGGGGTCATTCTATGCATGCATGGGGTTAGGTTCTCGTTAGGCCTTCTTAGGTCTTCTTATAAGACTTCTATTAAGTCAAATCCAGCCTCATAGTCCGAGTGTATTATTATCTAAACTAACCTGGGTATTCAGGGGTCTTTTACCAAATCTGTCCACCCCGTATGCACGCCAGCTGCAGCTGCTAGAGACCTACCCCCAGAGCGGCCCGATTCTAGATTCCCCCAGGTTGACGCTT